CAGGCAGCCAGATAATGTACAGGCGTGGCGCGCCACGCGCCGCGAGTGTACACTTTTCTCATAGTCCGGCTTTTTCTTGCTTTTTAGCTATCCCGACATGGTTCTCGACCCCCGAACGCGATCCTGCTTATTCCCTTGGGCTTTTACTCAGACATCAAAGGTCCAAATCACTCAAATTCATTCTATAACATCTACATAGCTCGGAATCACTCCTACAAGGCATAAAACATACAATTAGTGCAAAACACTAGCGATTAAAACTCAAACTCAATGAAAGTGGAGTAAATTGGAGTGTAATAGGAGACTAAAATACGAGATTATAGCCTACCATAAGTAAGTATCGTGGTTAACCTTGACTTGAGGGATTAGGACTTATTTGCCTATTTGCTACATATTTAAATATTGGGTACAACATATATGCGAGGTGACAAGTACTTATGCGTTGTTCTTGGGTTAAAGCATGCGGTTGAAACTTGTTTCTCGTGATTTATTTCCTTCTTTGATTATGATATCCATGTCTAGACTAGTTTATTACTTAATTGATCATTCTTTATGCATTTATGAATTAATTGTGATGATTGAATATTATTGGATGTTGAGGCTCGGTATTATGGAAACGTTGTTGATGTAAGGTTTATTCTTGATTATTCTTTCTCCCAAATGTCATATATATTTCTCCATGGTAAGGGAGAGAGTGTTAATGCATGAAGGGTGGTGCCATGCCAATCATTGTTCCATTTGTTGATTTATGCATAGTGAGGAAGAGAGTTAAAGCACGAAGGGTGATGCCATGCCGTATTTATCATTTCATGATGAAATTGAGAGTAAAAGCCCGAAGGGTGACGTCGTGCCGTATTTATCATTTTATGGAGAGATTGAGAGTAAAAGCACGAAGGGTGATGCCATGCCGTATTTATCATTTTATGGAGAGATTGAGAGTAAAAGCACGAAGGGTGATGTCGTGCCATTATTACTGCTTCATGGTGAGGTCGAGGGTAAAAGCACGAAGGGTGATGCCGTGCAGTTTATATTCATTATGTTTACCCGCTTCATTGGCTAAGGTTTATTGACTGTTTTATGTTGTCATTCCCTGTTGTAGTTACCGTATTTTGTACCCCTTTTTCATGTCCCCTCCCACTAGTACATGTTAAATCCTTATTTGTTGTTATGTTGTGCGTATATTTTCGTTTGGACATGTTTAATTACGTGGGTGTCCTGTCATAGCCTCGTCACTACCTCGTCGAGGTTAGGCTCGACACTTACGGAGTACATTGGGTCGGTTATACTCATACTACACTCTTCACTTCTTGTGCAGATTTTGGTACTGGTCCCAGCTGTACGTGAGGTGCATCAGCTCGGATTAGCATTTGGAGATTCGAGGTAGATATGCTGGCGTCCGCAGACCTTGAAGTCCCCTTCCTCTTTCCTTATTTACTTTTCATCTCATTCGACACATTGGTATTTATTTCAGACTCTGTATGTAGAATCTCTAGAAACTCGTATATTTGTGACTCCAGATCCGGGTTGTACCAGATATTGGATTATTATGCTATTTCGTACTTCATTTTAGCTTCATTTCTGTCTGATTGGTTAAATTTTTCAAAGTGTTTAAAATTGATAAAAGAATTACTCTAGCGTTGGCTTACCTAGCAAGTAAAATATTAGGCACTATCACGGTCCCGGAGGTGGGAGTTCCGGGTCGTGACACTCTATCTCATGTTAGGTTTGGGTGGTGGGGATCATTTTTAATCTACATAAATTCTTTTCAAATCTTAGCTAATAATTTTGCTATTCCAATTTTTTCCTGCCTTCACGCTACTTCTTCTTTGTATATACATACATGTATATTTATAATTTATACATTACTGCATATATGACTTGTAAGCACATGCACATATATATAAAAAAATGTACCATTTATCTATTTTGGGTATAATCTAAATATAATTTATGTATATTTGACATGAAATATTTTTTGAACTTCTCCATGTCTTTGCAAACATAGTAAAATATAATGTATATTTCATAATGATATACATTGAATAAACAGTGTATATATTTCAATGTATTTTTTTACATTCAACGTTGTAGTATTGTTTTAACTGTTATCCTCAATATATATAAGAGTAATATTTGATATTATTAATTTGTTTTTAAAAATACATGGTATATTCAACGTTGTAGTATTGTTTTAACTGTTATACTCAATATATATAAGAATAATATTTGATATTATTTTATAATTGTTTGATTTCATATGTATATTATTATACATTATATATTTGAGATTTATTAGTTTCATATTTTATAAATGATACAAAATGAAAGAAAATATATAAGGAGAATATTTTATAGCAAGAAAAAAGAAGAGATTATTTGGATAGTTACAAACGTGATTCTTGGTCCACCAACAAATTTGTAACATGTTAAAACAGAATGTGTAGTATCCTAATTTGAAAAAAAAAACTATAGGCCATATTGTTTTATTTTCTTTAGAAAATAATTAAACAGATCCTTAAATTTAGGTTTATGATTCCTAACTTTGAGGTGTATGATTCATTGCCTTTGTTTGAGAAGGAATCTTTGGGGATTTAATTATGGGCGAAAAAATATGAATGATATGTTAGGGTTGATTATTGTCTAGCTTGATTTTAGGGATTTTTATTGAATCTGCTATGCTATATTAATATTCAGGTGCCATAGAATGACAATTAACTATTGCGGCTACGGATATACAAATTTTCTTTAAATATTGTCTAATTATATTTTTTGCCCAAATATAAAAGCTAAAAAGCCCATATTAACTATTGCGGCTACGGATATACAAATTTTCTTTAAATATTGTCTAATTATATTTTTTGCCCAAATATAAAAGCTAAAAAGCCCATACTCATAGATATGGTCCAAAGTCCAAACCAACTTCATAGGTAATGGTGTTGTTTGTTCAAGTGGTCTAAACCTTCTGTGATTAAAAATAAATTCATCATTCACTACCCTCAGATTCAAGAACTTGAAAATGGACCAATACCATATTCAGGTATCTCAATTGAAATTTTCGTAAATAATATTATCGTTGTATAGTATTCTTGCTTATTTCAATAATCCTCGACATAGAAGAAAGAATTTGAGCAATTATTAAATATAGGACTACAAAATGCATTTAGTTAGTCATCAAAAAGTGATTTGCAAAACTGGTACTGTAGCCCAACTACACTTACCAAAATAGTTGAGGAAATAACTTAAATAGCCGCCACAAAAAAAACTTCAAATGCATATATTATATATAATGAGTGTATATTGACTAGGGGTTGTTTGGAAATATTTTTGACTGAACAGTCAAATGTGTTAAAAGACCAAAATAGTTTACAGCCCAACTAAAGTGTCAAGAATTGTGGGGCCCCACAATTCTTTTCTTTGCAAGCCCAAAAAGAAGAATAGTTTCGTGACTCTCATCTATCGTAATCGTACAACCTTGTCATCATCTTACCGTTGTGAATTTTCTGTCACACACTTCCCTCTATGGGTGTTAGGGGGCCGGGCCGGGCTAGAAGAAAAGAGCACCGGCCGATTTCGGTACAGGTCCAATTACCGGTTAAAATTTATCGGGTTTATTGATTTCGTGTTTAACCGGTGCTAAATTGAACCATAACGATTTCGGGCCTAATGGGCCGGGTCGGGACAATTTTATTCATTTTTTTTGTATTTTGTATATAATCGTAATTTATATTAAGATAAAGTAAATAAAACACTAAAACTAACATATAAAAAGAATGTTTGAATAAATTTTAAAGGCTTTAAAAGCCTTATATTTGAAATTTTGAATAAAAGGTTAAAAACTTCAAAGGCTTTAAAAGCCTTATATTTGAAAAATTCATTACGAATTTTAAATAATACAATGAACATGAAAAAAAATATAACTTATAATTTGCAAGTTCTTTTTTTAATTTAAACTTGCAAATTAAAGTTTACATTTTACAACAACTAAATTAAAAAAAAATTAAATTCAAATTTGAATTATTAAATATAATTTTCAAACTTCAAAGATTTTGCATTGCCCTAGTAAGTTCTTCATAATCAATATAAACTTCTTGGCTATCTACCGGAGTGCTGAAATTTGAAAATTAAAATTAAGTGGCTAAATAAAATTATTTAATAAGACCAATATGTAAGGATCAAACTTCAAAGGCTTTCATTTCATATTTTCGTCGCAAATAATACTTCAAATTAACTTGTCCAATAAACTAACGCATTAAGCTTAAATAAGTCTAATAAATTCATAATAACACAAATTGCCTCAAATCAACTTAAATACGAATTTTTGGAGGACGCTCAAGACAACTCTTGATATGCCTCCTTAAACCAGCTGTGCCCTCCCACTTTCGACGAATATTAAAGACTCAAGCACATTTCTTGCATTCTACTTTGCGAACTTATTCATTTTCTTCTACCACCTCAAAGTGTTTCCAAACATGTGAGCACACTCTAGAAGCACGGGGCATGATTTAAATTGAATTGAGAATTTGGGTTTGAGATTTGAGAAATGAGTGAAGAAATAAATAAGAGGGAGGGGGAGGTCTATTCATAGTTTTTCAAAGGGTTAAATTAGTAAATAATAAAAGTGTTATTTTTAAAAAAAATCTAAAAATGACTATTCTTGCAAATTAGCCGTTGGGCAACAATCAAAATGGTAGCTTACCGTTGACAACGGTCAAGAGTATTAAAAAAAAAAAAAGAAGAAATTTTGAACTAACCGTTAAACCGGTCCGGGCCGATTAACCGGTTCAAGATTGACAAGACCTTACCGGATAGGACCGGTCCGATTATCCAATAGTGAAATCTTCCCGGCACAGGCCAGTTCACGTCCAAACCCAGTCCTGCCCGGCCCCGTTACCACCGATCCAGTCCGGTCCAGTCTAAAATTGGTCAAGAGGGTCCGGAACCGGGCCAGGCCGGCCCGTTGGACATATTTACTTCACTCCACAAACACAAAATCTTTATTCCTTTATTCCTTGTTTTCGCCTTTTGTTTGTCATAAAGAATCAAACCCCTATTACCCTATTCAAAACCTCGGAGGTACTCCATAATTCACAGCTGAATAGCGAAAGAGAGATATATAATATATTCGTGTAGGGATGGCGAGGATAATGCCAATGACGGCATCCTCAATTAGGCCTTCACTCTCATCCCTCAGGTTTTGTCGCTTCTGCGTTTCTCACAGTTCTTCCCGCAAGTTTGCTTCTTTCCATCTCGGCACTGGTAAGTTCCTCTTCCTTTCCCCTCAATTTCAAACCCCTTTTGTTTTTTGGTTCAAAATTTACAAATTGTGACCAATTCGTTGTGGACCCCACGTCATACTTTGTAGTAGAACATGTCACGTGTATAAGTGTTCAGTACTGAGTGTGTGAAGCGTCTCTGTCATCTGCATTTGAATTGTAATCTGATAGTCTTTGTGATTATCTGAGTTGTAATGCTACTTCTAACTAGAAGTTTCTTTGTTTGGTGATAGAATTATCTATACCACAAATAGCCAGAGAACTTTCTTATATGATGGTTTTTGACCAATGTTAATTTGAGTTATGTGTTATATTACTAATAGTGGAAGAGAATATTGAAAAGTTAATTTGATAGAGAAACCATTGCAGCACTGTTAAATTTTTGAATAATTAAGTGAATCTGAATTCTTTGTTCAGATCATTTTAATAATAATAATAATTTGATCTGTTTTACCGAGAAGGTCTACGAGTCCGTATAGCCCTATAAATAAGAAAAATGCAAAATAAAAAAAAATTGTATAATTTTCATTTCTTTATTATTATTTCTTGCTTGTAACTAAGTGAAATCCAATTATTCCTATAACTTTACTCATGGCAACGTTTAAGCAGATGAAAAAAAAACAACATATCAACAGATCCAATCGATATTGATTTTTTCAATTGCCTACCGAACTGTGAAAAGCATGATTTAAGATACGCACGGACAAAAGTAGTTGCTTAGGTTGCATATATAAGAATAGGAATCGAATCCACAACTATTGATATTGAATCCGTTGTTCTCACCTTAAAAGTTGGGTAAGCCAAGGGGGTACTTTGAACTGTTAAGAGGTGCCTAGCGCTTTTATCAATATGAAAGAGGAAGCTTCTGGGCTGTACAATTCTGAAAGTTGTACTGAATTTTATATTTGTGGCATGGTACCGAAACATTTTGAACATCTCAAAATGAAAAGTCTGTTATATAAAATGGAAAAGCAGGAGAGTAGTTTATAAAAACCAACAGTAACTATCAGAAAATACTAGTGGTCGCCTAATAGATTAAGGCAATATTTTGACTGACATAAAAGCATCTATCTCTTTTCTTTGATGCTGAATTTACCTCTTCTTTACAACTATCGCCGTTCGTCGTGAAGCAAAGATCTGGTTATTTTCATGGAAAAAGAGAGCGGAATTTACTTAGATCACTCTTTTGTCCAGTTAAGTGGTAAACTTTATTAAATAATTTCATTTGTATGCTTTCTAGTTTAGAATATCAAGATTATGGTCATATACTTTATGCAGTTCTTTTGCCGTAATATATATAGTAAATGTGGTACACTTGTCAAAGTCTAGTTTAAATTGACAAGAAATTTTTATTGGAAGAGATTTACAATGTTGTCCTACATTCTATATCTCTATGCAATTAAAAAACAATGAAAACAAAAAAGGACGGAAAAAAGGGAACGGAAAAAGTAGGTCATAAATATGTTAAATATATCATGTACATGTTATTATTAATAAAAAAGGAGTATTACAGCTTATCTAAAGGCTAATTTAGTACATCCTGGAAAAAGAAGAGCAAAAGAGAAAATTGAAAAAGGAAAAAGAAAAAAAACGAACAAGGCTGAAGCCTGAAGGATGCCGTTTTTAGTCATACTTGGTCGGCACGACACTCTTTTATAGATGGGCAAATAGTCGTGTTCTCAATATATTTGATTTTTTTGTAGAAGAGGTAATTTACAGGGCCTTGTACCCAACATTACCGCCTTTAAGCCCTCATTCTTGTTTGATTAGAAGCATTCCTTGTCTGGCTTTATAGTCTGCCAGGGGGTTGATCTACTCATTCTGCTTTTGCTTCTAGGAACTGCATTTGCAATTTTCTGATTCTAATCTTCAGAGAGTTGTTCTTCCGTGAAGCATTTCGGTGATGTCATTTCTAGTAACTTTTTTTTAATCAAGTATGGCTTAACTTGATTAGAGAAATATCCTTAGTTTGCATCACTATGGTGGTATACAGTTAATACAATAAGTAAATACTCCTAGCTTCCATTAATGAATCTACTGCTCCACATTTTTACCGTATTAGGAGCACCACTATTAAATGATTCTAGAATGTGTAGACAAACTAGCTGTAAAAGAGAACAAGGTTGATGCTACGTTATGCTTTAAGATCTCTTATCTCTCTCTCTCTGAGTTTTTCTCTGGGAGGGAGGTAAAAAGGATCTGGCTTTACAGTAAGAAGGGAAACTTACAACATTTCAAGTGTCCAATTTATCCGTTGAAGGTTACAGAGTTTCAGTTTACTGCTTCATCCTTGTTCCAAAATTGATCTCCTCACCTACACATCAATGAACATCATTGTTCTCTTAAGCTATGAGATTGACACTGTTTCTTGTGCCTGTTAAGTTTCGGATTTAACCTATAGCCCAGGAGTTTAAACATTTATTGATACTAATTGGTGATGCTTACTTTGGTACTGTTGATGATTGTCCAGCAGTTCCACAGATGCAATCTTTTGGCGTTAAAGCTTCTAAGTTGTTGAGAGAAAAAGGAAGCAACTTTTCAATTGGTGCAGTTGGAAGTATGGCACATGCAAGCACTGCTACCACTCAAGAAAATGTCCTAGACTGGGTCAAACAGGACAAGAGAAGAATGCTTCACGTTGTTTACCGTGTCGGAGACCTTGATCGAACCATCAAGTATAAATACTTGACACTCCATATTTTGCTAGTCTAATTCTGTCATAAAGGAATTATTGTCCTTTTTATTACCGTGTCTTTTCAAACCCGTTAATGTGGGCTGCAGATTCTACACAGAGTGTCTAGGGATGAAATTGTTAAGAAAGCGTGACG